AATTTTTGCACCCCTTTAGACTTCTGAAACATTACCAGAATTCCATGAATTCTCAAAAATTAAAGCTGACAGTTCTGCAATCACCTATGCTAGTTTCTTCAGTGTCCTAGGATGTAGATCTGTAGTTTAGCCTTCCTGGGACAATCCTTATTTCTGGCAATGGCCTTTCATCATTTTTTGGCTATGAGTCCTTGACAATATAGTCATCATGGACTTTTGAACAGAATATTCTAGATGGGGCAAAATTTGCCAATATTTTGGCCTTTAACAAGAAAAAAAATCAAAATTTGCTGGTTTTAAGTTGGTGAAGTGCATAATCAGAAGAAAAAAATAAGTATATTTTACTGTTCTAAATATTTGTTTCCTAAAATGTTAATATTCATTTTTAGAAATAGGCATTTGCCTCCAGGCACCCATCACTCTGCAATTCAAAGCATTCTATAGCTTGAACCCCCATGATCCCAATATTCACTTTTTTCCTTTTGATAAAATTATAGTTGTGATATTCTGGATTACAAAGAATCTGAAAACCCGGCAATACAAGTATCAAGATGAGTATATATTCATATTGTGAAAACTCCTAGAGCATCCAAGAACTTCCATTTGGCAATGGATCAACTTTTCAATGTACTTAGTGTAATGATTAATTCAGTATTGTACTTGACTGTGCATAATTGAGAACTGGATGCTAAAGCTTTTAAAAATCAATTCCAAAATCAACATTTGTGGAGAGACTCTCATTTCAACATGATTTAGATAAGACTGCTAAATGAGAGATGGGTGCCAAGACACTTCCCGGTGAGAACCAATGTTTATATTAACTTTTTTATATAGTACTATACCTTTGGAACTGTGATCCGTACCTGAATTCTATAATTTCAGAATGGATGAGCAAGATAAATATAACAACAACAATGCATTCTTAGTGAATCTGCAATACATTCCCAAGATAAATTTTTGGAACACAAGAATGATAGTAATGATTGCCTTGGTACATTAAGCAAGTCTTTCAGCTCTGGCAAACAAGCTTTGCATTTAGGTATGTAAGTTGATAAGAATGTGAAATGAAATAGTGCATGTAACCTTAAATATTTACAGGCTAATGTAGAAAGCGAATTGTTAGAAAATTTTCCAATCTGTTTTTTTTAAGACTATCCTATTAATTGGGGAGTAGAAAAAAATATTTCTTCCAGCTTATATAGTTGTCTGCATTGGTAAAGCTGAAGAAGCTGCCTTTTTTTAGCATTATTTAAAAAAAGCTTTAGTAATGCTTCACAATATACTTCTTGATTGAAGTCTAGTGACATGCTCCTGCTACCTGCATAGATAGGTTCAGTATTTTGCCAGGCACTTCAAATTTATTTGCAAACAGCAAAAAAAATATAAAACCAAGGACTACATTGCCAAGGCTAGATGAATAACCTGCAATCATGAAATACAGGACAAAGGCAGGGAAAAGATGAATTTAGTTGAACTGACTCCATCTAAACCAGGGGTCCCCAACCCTTGGAATGCAACCCACTACCATTCTGAATGTGAGCTTCATTTGTGACCTGTGCAGCTCCATTTGAGTGGCAGGCACACATGCTTCCTGTTCGTGCAAATAGCACTGCGCACATAGATGTGCATGCCCACCTCTCATGCAGAACCATCCCTTCCCCCCTCCCCCCGCCAATCTGCAAAGCCAAAAAGGTTGGAGACCACTGATCTAAACCTTCCAACAAAAATATAGCACTTGGAGTACTACCTATAAAATAATGTAGGTTCAGAATTTCAAGAACCTTTGGCTTTCCCTGGAATGATCCTGGGAAGGGAAGACCAATTTGTGCTGATGAATAAACAAAACTCATACTCAAACCATAAAGGAGCAGCCAGCAAAAACAAACTTCATTTTGTTAAGTACATGGCTAACTTTACATATTGTACTAAGACAGAATATATTGTAACTCATTTGAGGCCTAATATTATTTATGAGCCTAACCACTCTGACCTAACAAAACACGATTAATAAAATTGTGGCTTAGCACAATATGTGAAGAAAAGCAAACACAATTGAACATTAATGTTTTTATCTATTTGAAAGCGACTAGATGGGGTAATAGAATTAACTTGTGAATTACAAATACAAATTATGAAATACTTAATATTTCATAAGATGTAAATAAAATTCAAATATAATTCAAATTGACAGAGAAATGGGCTTTAAATGAGATAAAATGCAAAATTTTCTGCTTAGAAAGTATTATACCCATAAGATATGAAGGGCTACCTGTCTTAGCAGTGATTATGTGGCTATTCATCAGTGTGGAGTATTAGCAACCACATAGCTAGACCTTCTCTAGGATCATTTGTCTCCAACTTGACCCTTCTTCCAACTATGTATCTTAATACTCTCATTAATCAAATATTTGTATGTGTCCAAAATTGGTGATTTGAGCCCGGTTATTTGTCCCTTGAGTGAGAAATCTGAATTGATTTTTTTTTCTATACGTTTTCTTAGCTATCCATGTTTTCTCAGGGCTTCTCCAACATCAAGCTCAAAAGCTTCAATCTGCTTTCTATCCTGCTTCTTCAAAGTGGCAATGAAGTTTATTGAAGATATTTGATTCTTGTGATGTATCTATGATGTGTCAGAATCATTTGGCAACAATTTTCCCTGTGATCTAGCAGGATTGGGTGGCCCTGATGGAGGTGGAAGTAGAAGGCTTGATAATAAAACTTACGAAAAACAAGTCACATAGTAATTTATTTCTGACTGAATATGAACCAGTAGTACATCTGCAAAAACAGCAAATGAAATTTTGGACATCACCACTAGACATGGCTTCTAAACCACAAAAACCTATTGTTCCACTTTGTTCTTGAATGCTTATGTTCAGTTCCCAGCATACATTAAGGATTCAGAGAAATTGGAACAGATTCAGAATAGAGACAGCAAGAATGAACAAGGGAAATCAAGTCCTGTATGAGACAGGACTGAAAATAACGTTGAAATGCAACAGTATTCATCAAATAGTGAAACTATGTTACATCACAAGTCACAAGTTCTTGTCACCCCTTTAGGCAATATGAGGAATGGCAGGAAAAAAAGTTCTGAAAAATAATAGTCCCATGATGGAATACGTTAGCCAGGGAGGTAGTGATTTTCCATTCATTGGAACTGTACAAATAAACTTCTGTTGTAGTAGTTTTAGTGTATATTCCTGTACAGAGGAAGAGTCCCAGGTCAATCTTGTCTGGGATTGGAAGCAAAGCAGGAACTGATTAATATTTGGGTGGGAGACAACAAGGAAATTCCAGTACTGTAGGCCACCAGACTGAGAAGTCAAAAAGTTTTGGAAGAAGGCAGTGACAACTCCCATTGCATGGACCTGTCCATGTCAACAGGAATCAAGTTGTAATCTAAAAGTGAGCATCTGCAGAGCAGGGGATTGGACTTGACTAACTAATTTTTATGTATTTGATTTCTAAACTACCCCAGTGCTGCAACTCATAACTGTATGTGAAAATAAAACATCCATGGGCACTGTAATTAAGGAAAATATAATACATGAACAAACAATCAATCTAGTTGGAGCAATAATGTCTTCCAACTGTAAGCCAGCAATGTACAATTACCCTGACTGAAATGCATGAATCATGGACATCACATAGTTAATACCATCCTAACAATATTTTCTTAAAAGTGTTAAAGTAGAATTTGTTTATCATATTTGTTTCTCACCCAAACTGGCAACCCACAGCAATTTAAAAGAAAACCCACAACTCAAAATACAAAACCTGTACAGATAACAAATTAACAAAACAATAGATGTAACCAATTATATATTAGAATAAACAAATTACTATAATAGCCACAGGTGCTTACTCAATACTAGGCATCACAGGCCTCAAATGAATTTACATGCAATGTGATCTAATGCAACCATATGGATATTTGCTCAGAAGTAAATTATATTGGGCTCAAATTGATTTATTTTTGACCAAATATTCTAGAGTTACATCCTAAAAATGGTAACAATCTAATCTTGCTGGAAAATCAGCACTGAATGTGAACATTACCATAATTATACAGCGGGATGTGTTACATACAAGCTACCCAATAAAAATAGGAGTCTTTTATTGTGGTTTATGCCACAATAAATATGGTGGTCTTGGAGATTTCACAGTACTCTGTGCTGGATATATTGCAGGTGGACAGAAACTGAAACATATAGCCCTGCTCTAGTTCAGAAAGAGGGTAAAAAGATAATCATCAGCTGCATTTCTCCCTATTACAAGGCAGTGAAAAGCACAGGGATTCTCGGGATCATTGGTGCAATTATTCTACTATAACTTCTAATTCTAAAATAGTTTTGCTGGTTTTTTTTTTTTTGGGTTTGTTTTTACTTTCACCCAACTACTAGTCCAATGACACAGATCTCTTTCTTTCCTCAGCTCAGAGGTTGTTGTGTAAGGGGGGGGAGGGGAGTAAATCGCTCTTTCCAAAAACCTGAAATCATTTGCAAAGAGTTTTTTAAATTAGGCATGGGACCAATAAAGGCTCGTTTGAAATGCTGGCTCCCTGGCTACTATTCTTCGACGACAGGAACATACACTCTCCCCCCTTTTCTCCGTCTTTTTTTTTTTTAAAACTAAGCTGCAATTTTTAGTATATTTTCTGTGTTTAGACACAGTAACCCTCTGTATAATGCATTTACTGCACTTTTATACCTGGATTTACTTAACGCACGTATTAACCTAAACTAGCCGTACCGAATCCACCAACAAAGCCCTCAACTATCTAAAAATGTTTCGTCAGCCAACCAATCATTGGGAAACGCTCCATCCCGACGTCCTCCTTCTCCATGTAAACCTCCCTGCGTTGGCTTGCTGCAACTGAACTTCCATTGTCTACGCTAGAAGCTTGTCCTGCCAACGCTCCCGCCTCCGAAGCTTTGCTGGACGGTGCCTTCACGAGCCAAGAAAAAGGAGGGGGGGGGACGGACGCAGAGAGAATATAACAGGGGTTCGGAATGCGCATGCGCCCCACAGGCCTTAGCCGCTCACGTCTCCTCCGAGAGGAGTCCCGCCCCTCAACCTCGTCCAACGCAGGGTCACGAGCGAGTGCTGAAAAGGCGCTTGAACAAGAGCTGCTGTGTTGGTTCTTCTTCGGCGCTTCGCATGGGGCCGGCGGAGGGATCGGCAGGGCGCGCGCCGAGCATCGCTTAAGCTCGCTAGTCGAGGTCGCTCTCGTGATGAGGCGCGGGGAGCGGAGGAGTCACGGAGGCGCCTCCGGCAAAGCGGCGCTGGAGGAAGGGCAGCCGCCGTCTTCGCTGCCGCCGCCGCCCCCCAACGGCGCTTCTCTGCCTGTTGGAGAGGGGCCGCGCGGGGACTCGCCGCCAGTGGCAGCAGCTGCATCGGCGGCAGCAGCAGCACCAGACGCCGCTGTCGTCACTCATGGCGACCGGCGCAGCACCGAGTCCGAAGTGTACGACGACGGGACCAACACCTTCTTCTGGTGAGAGGGGCGACCGTGCTTGCCTGAGCTCCCCTTCTGCCTGCCTGCCTGCCGGCCTGCCTGGTCACTCTGCAGGCAGAACGAGCGCTTAGGTGCCTCTGGAGCCTGTGCATAAAAATAAGGGCGCCCAGAGAGTGGCTGAATCTGGAGGGGAAGGTTGCTGGGCGCTGATGCTGAAGGTGACAGCAGCAGCAGCAGCAGCAGCAGTAGAAGAGGCGAGGGTTGGATAAGAATTTAGAGGTAGCACTGGCTTCTATTTACATCTAAGTTGATCTTTGATAGCTGTGTGTATGTGTGTCCTCTGAAAGAGATGGTACAGCACGTTCTTAGTTTCAGGACAGACCTTTCTAACTTGCTCCTCCCCTGCTCTTTGTGCTGACTTGGCTCCATGGCTATTGCTGTCTCGGATGCGATTTTTCATCACTTGCTATCACACATGTAAACAAGTTTACAGTTACTAACTAGGCAAGGGTCATCCTTTTGGAGATATTTCATTTCCAGATTCTCCAATGCCTTTGACAATGGCAGAGCTGCTAAGGTATTGGAAAAGTTCTTAAACATTCAGGGAGATATTCAGAGATGTATCTGCTTTGAAAGTAGCCCATATACATACATACATACATACATACAATATAGCACAGTCAAACATCAGAAGTTGACCATGGGAAATATTTTATGACGCTTGGTATTATGCCATAAGATGCTTTATGATAATTTTTATGTCATAAAATGTTTGATAAAGTTTGCCGAAGTTCAATTCCAGGGGAATCAAGGGTCCCAGATTTTGGATACATTCCGGAAGTTAGCACATTTGAGGTACGCTGGTTGAAAAAAAATGATGTACACTTTTACCCAGTTAAATGTTATAGATCCAAAGCATATAGTATGTATATCCTGTTATTGAACATAACTCTGCTAAAGACCAGTTTAATCAGGAAAACTGATTAAGATTGCTTTGTAGACTATTTTCACAATTTTCCTTCTTCTTTTTATCTGATGCCTTGCTGCTGAATCTGTTAAGATTAGAAATCAGTGGAGATAGTGGGTCAACATCAGTAACTGAGTTTAAACATTTTGGGGATAAACACATGTCCATCATCTGACAAAAACAGAAAATAAAACAACAAAATAAAATTTAATAAAAACAACAAATAAAGAAAGAGAGAAAAAAGAAAACAAACTCAAAAGGCAGACTTGGACAACTAAGTCTTTTTCTGTGGTCATTTTTCTGTTTCTCTTCAGTTTATAAATAGATATTGCAACATATAATAAAAGCTTGGGGAAATAAGCCAATTTAATCTGCATCAATAAAGGGGCACTTGGACTGCATTCCTTAACTATGCTTAAATTCATACCTTTCTTTTTTCAGAATACTGGTAGTCCTTGACTTACAAACGGTCACTTTGTGTCTCTTCAAAATTACGATGGACACACCCCCCCCCATATGGTATTAGTTCCAAAGTTCTGATATCTGCTCTCCAGTTTGTGGTCACATGACTGCATTTCAGGCATTCGGCAACTGGCCCAAATTTATGGCTGTTTGCAGGATCCCGCAGTTATCTGACCACAGTTTACAACATTTTTGCCGAAAACTGGCACTTCTAGTTTTCGCCAAAAACACCCCATAGTGAACAATGAGTTGACTTGACTGTGATGATTTGCTTACTGACCACCACAAAAAAGGTCATTAAGTCAGATTGGTCATGTGGGTGACCCGCTTTACGACTGTCACAACTTATGACCATAATGGGCAAGCTCCATTATGGTCATAAATTAAGGGCTACCTATGTTTTCCTGGATTGTTAGAGAAAAGGAAATATCTTTTTATATTCTTTGTCCTTTTTTAATAGTTTCTGTTAGTTCTCCAAATTCTTTCATATTATTCTGGCACTTACCCAGTTTGTACAGATTTTCTACATTAATTGTCTATTTTTAGAAAGCAATGGGAGAAGATTGTAAAATCATTTTGTACTTTAGCAGCATTAGAAAGTGGTATAGAATGCTTATTGCTGATAGAGCATGCAAATGGAACTATACCAAAAGAAAAGATTGACAAAGGAACTTTATTATTTTAAAATAATCCCTGAAGAAAGTGCATAAGAACACTACATGAGTTAATAACAGCTGAGTGAGCCATAGTAAATTTCTGCTATTTTTTCCTTACAGCTTTTATTTTAGCTGATGTTTTAAATTCCTTGTTGCCCATAAAAAAATGACATTAGTGACATCTCCATTGGTTAAAAATAGTGTTTACAACTGTACTTGTAGGTCCTTAAATAAAAAGCAACCTTGAATTTTACAATAAATAATTTATGTCAATCACATATCTGGGCATTGGCTATACGGACTGCATCCAGAATATTCTTCCTCTAATTAGAAAGGCAGAAATCTGTGTAGATTATGCTGTTGTGCTGTATTTCCCACCTAACTGTGTTTACCTATCTGTGCCATTGACAGAGAAGAAAACAAAATAGTTGTAGACTTAAAAAAATGTTTGATATTGCAGGGGAAAAATTATTTGGCTGTGCAAAAAATAAAAATAAAAACCTTGGCAAAGAGAAAAACGTGAACTGGCTTTGTATGACTTGAACTTTGTGAACTTGGCAGCAAGAGGGATACATTGATACTCAGCAACAAATTTAGAGCGCAGTTAGCTTCCTAGAAGTTGTTGCATTCCAACATAGTACCTGAGAATTCACTGTCCCAGTATTCAGTGCTCTGCAATTTAGGGAACACCATATTTCATCATAGGTCCAGGAAGCACTTTAGAGAGTACATTAGGAACAACTGTGGTACAAAAATAGTGATCTAGTAACTGGATCTTACTGATATTTTGGGTTATGCCATGTTTTAAACGGAGTGTGGGTGAAATTGCCAGTTCTTCCAATAGTACTCAGTTTATAAACTTCTGCTAAGCTGTTGTTTTGTTTTGTTTTTTGCAACACTTCATAATATTGTAATTATTCATCTTGGAAATAAGTGTACATTGTGTTACATTTTTTCCCCTCGTAGGTTAAGTTCTATTTCAAAGAAGTTTCCATTTGTGTCTCTTATTTTTGATGTTCCTATGTATTCTTAGTTACTCTTATATTTGGCAAAACATTTAAAAATGGATGTTCTTACATTTTTAGTAGTTAGAGTTATGGTCATTGTGGAAAAAGCAAGTACAATAGTAAAGATCTAATTTACTTCATGCTAGTAAACTGGAGTACTTTAGTGGAATAATTTATTGATTGCAATTAAAATATCTTTAAATGTTGCCATAAACTAGCAAAAGCTCCCTTAATTTTTTTGCTAATTTTTATAGCTGATGCAATTAATTCTATTTACCATCAAATCACTACAGATGCTTAGCAGTTTACACAACAGAAGCAATCATTTTAGTTAAAGCATCTATGATAGATAGAAATAAAATAAACAATAACTAAGTCACAACAATATAATGGTGTGGTGGAATCTGGAGCTGAAGTCCTCCCTAAATTTGAAGTGCTTCTCTAGTAGTTCCTGTGGTAAGTATATTATTCTGGCGAGATTCCTGTCAATAGGCGAGTAGCAATAAACGTACCACTCTGATCAACTCCTTGTGTCATTTCTGGTCTCTTGTACCTCACTAAGGGTAACAATAATAAAATAATAAAACAAATCATAGGAAAACCAAATTAAGTAATTTTAAAAATTAAATTAATGTAATTAAATGTGGTAACAAACTATTCAACCAAATGCTTTTCAGAAAAAAAAGATCTTCAATAGCTTCCAGAACATTATAAGAGATGGAATAAGCTTTAATTCTAAGGAAATTGTATCCCATAAGACCTGAATAGCAACTGAGAAGCAATCTCTCCTGGCTCCATTCCCCTTACAGCAGGGATCCCCATCCCCCAGGCCATGGACTGGTACCACTCTGTGGCCTGGTAGGGGCCGGGCCTCACAGCTGAAGGTGAGTGGCGGGCGAGTGAGCAAAATTGAAACCATCCCCCCCCCCCGACACACACACACACCCTGGGTCCATGGAAAAATTGTCTCCCACGAAACTGGTCTTTGGTACCAAAACAGTTGGGGGCGGCTGCCAGTACTTAACAAAAGTGATGTATGACCAAAAGCTTCTCATGGGAAGAATGTAATAGATGGGCTTACTCAAGTTGGAGAAAGCAGTCCTGTAAGAAGCTAGGCTCCAAGCTAATTTATAATACTGATTACCGGTATATAATTACAGATGTAAAGAATGACTTTAAGAAAATATGTAGGTGTTAATGTTTATTGAAATAAAAAGGAGAAACTCTTTAAAGACTAATAATAGACACATTTGAAATAAACTCCAGTTCATGAAATACAATCTAATTATAATGCTATCTTCCATTTCAAGTGGGGGAGGGGGGAGTAAATATTTGATCTAAATGTCCATGGAATAGAAGAGGCTGTCTTCTAACTAATGCTTCATTCATGTTGTATTTATATTTGAAGAAGCAAGACTGTTCCTATTATCGCCTCTCTAAGTATGGTTATGAAATATCAGGAATGAAAGTCTATGCTTTTACCTGAATGCATAGCATTTTCCCTTTTCTGCTTAGATTGTAGACGCAGGTGATAATATTAATGTAGGTGTTGCAATCTACTTTTCATCATCACTCATAGAATATATACACTAAGAGTTTCTTTTGAAGAGGCTTTTCATCTATAATATTCAAATAGATACAAAATTAAACTCAATAACTGTTCACAGTGGTAGTTAACAGCAGAATTACAACTTTCCAGAGGTAAAGTAATGCCCCCACTAGAAGAAGAAAATGTGATTTTATTTGAACATTAAATACATAAAATAATTTATCAATTAGTCAACAATTTCATATTGGAGTTTTTGACATTTTTGTCAAATTGCAACTCACAAACCATCAGTGTTTGGTCTAGGACAGTGTTTCTTAAAATGTGGTCTGCACTGAGTTGGCTACGGCCCTGGGAGTCCTAGCTGATTGGAGGACTTGGATGCCGAGTTGAGGGTGGCAGTAGGAGCAGGAGTCAGCAATTGTCCTGAGGGAGAACTGATGTCTCCTGTAGCTACCAACTAGCTAGGTACATGGTCCAGCAACAATCTTGGCAGTTTTTTCCCTCTGTGTAGGACACAGGACTTGAATGTACTAAGTTGATTTGATCATGGTGGCTGATGGCCTGAAGGGATGAGTTAGACTAGCAAGGATATTGAGGGTTTTGGACCATTTTGTTGGAGGGGGCCTGGATGGGGCTGGTCATGCCTCCTGCCCCTGAGTGAGAGGCGGTGACAGGAATGAGGCCTGGCCTATTAGGCCTATTGGATGTGATATTCTGTAGAGACCAGGGGGAGGATTTAATAGATTTGATGGTGTGGGTGAGGAATGGGAGGCACTGCTCAGGTTAGGCACTAAGTGGTTTTAAAACCACTAGTAGTCTGGGTAGAGTCTAATTCATCTCCAGTTATTTGTTGCTGGGTAGGGTAGGCATCTTTAGCTTGGGGTTGGGAAGAGGTAGGAAGGATTTGAGGGGGGTGCAGTTCTATTGATACATATAGCCCATTCGTATAACCTTCCAGTACAGGTTGTACATATTTCTAAGGCTTCATCAGAGGCTCTTGGCTGCCACATGGGTCTTCTGTTATTCCTTCAAGTTTTTCTCTGAGGGAATGAATGAATAACCATTTCCCATCAGCTGAAATGTCAGATAACATTTTCTCAGTTATCATTATGAAATTTAACATTCAAGGTTGGACAATGAATGTATTGGGATAAGCTAAAATGAAAGAAAGGAAGGTATAAGCATTTATGTTTTCTAAAACATTTCATCGTAAAAGCAGGGGATGTAGAAAAAGCAATAAGTTCAGAAATTAGTTTGGATGTTACAGCTTCAAGGGGCTTTTTTGTTATTTAGGCTTGGTTTTAAAGTGATGTTTATAGGCACTGAGTATTTTACTAGGTTGAAAGTTGTTGACAAAATTATTGAATACTACTTAATGAACAGAGAAGACAGAATCTTTTATCATTCCTCTTAAGTTAGAGAAGTCATCTCTGAATATATTTTCAACACATTTGGTTGGATATTTGGAAAAAAAAACCCAAAAGATAAAGTAAAATCTGAAAAATATAAAAGTCCTATTGCTTTTGGAAAAAACTGCACCTCTGAAGGCTTTGAGAGCATTCTGTTTCTTTTTGATTCCTAGAAAACAGTTTGTGACAATCCCTATCTTTTTTATCAGCTTGTCAGCTTCTGAATACGTTTTGGTTCTGAAGGATTTTCATTCATTTCATTTCATTCATTTATTAGATTTCTATACCGCCCTACTCCCGAAGGACTCAGGGCGGTGCACAGCCAAACAATAAAAACACATACAATACAAAATTTTAAAAATAGAATAAAATCAAATTAAATAATTTTGGCCCCGACAAATTTAAAACCCCAAACTTTTACTGTAGCTTTCCCCCTCTGTTTTTACCTCAATGATCAGCTGCTGTTTTATCAACTGCTTTTGAAGATTTCTTTAAACTTCAGCTTATTTAAAATGTACAACTCTAAATGCACATAGTGAGTGAGTGAGTGAAAATGTATTTTTGATGCAGTTGCTGGTATTTCTCTTGTGAGCCCAATTTAAGGTGATGTTATTCTTTTCCTTGTTGAGATTATCACCCCATACATTTTTCTGCTACAGCTGTTGTTCAGGCTTGATTAGTCTCATTAAGTGAGTTAACATAGCCAACAACTCTATTATAACAACACCTTTTTCAGTACTTGCAAGCTCGGGACAGTTCTCCCCATGGAAACTAGCATTTTCTTCAGGATCTTTCAAAACAAGGTGTAAAACTCTCTTTTTGTAGACACTGATTTGTGACTCTTCTGAACTTGTATATGTAACTAGTGAATTTGTATTATTTTGCCTTTTAAATGCTATATATTTTATATTAGGGCTGTGTGCTTATACACACACACACACACACACGCACATATATATACACACAAACATATGTACTTGCACACTTAAAGCTTTCATTTCTGCTGGTGAAAATAATAAGCCAACTATAAACAGTGTGTCAGAAAAAGATGATATTTTTTTCCCTTGTCAACAGGGAAGCTCACACCTTAACAGTCCTGTTTATCCTTACTTGCACCCTGGGCTATGTGACCTTGCTTGAAGAAACGCCACAGGACACAACCTATAACACAAAGAGGTAAATAACTTTTACAGAATACTGCAGCAATGTTGCTCACTTATTAACTATTGTTTGTTGGAATACCAATTTTTCAATTGCAGTTCTTTTATACAGGTAGTCTTTGACCATTTAACGACTATTTGAGGTTAACAGCGCTGAAAAAAGTAACTTATGTCAAGTCTTGCACTTATGAGCATCATAGCATCTGCACGGTCACGTGATCAAAAATTGGGCTCTTTATGATGTTTGCAGTGTCCCAGGGTCATCTGATCGCCATTTGCAATCTTCCCAGCCAGCTTCAAGAATGAGAGAAGCCAGATTCACTTAACAGCCTTGTGATTTACTTAACAAATGCAATGATTCACTGAACAACCATGGCAAAAAGGTGTAAAATTAGGAGCAACTCGCTTCACACTGCCTTGCTTAGTGATGGAGATTCTGGTCCCAATTGCGGTCATAAATTGAGGACTACCTGTATTTGGGATTTGTTTTCTGCAACAGTCTGTTGCATGTTTAGTAGTTATTTCCTAGTCTCATTTGAAAACTAATGTATAGTACATGATAAAAATATAATTTAAATGTTGCATATTGATTAATCTTGCTTTTTAAGAGGTTTCTGTTTATTAAATCACAGGGTAATTTGAATTACTCCAAAAATCATTCCAAGTTGAAAATGTTTTCTTAATATTTCTCTATCTGATGAAAGTTTCATTGAACTTACAAAGATTGGTATCTAAGTAACAGAGATGTATTTGGTTACCTCATGAATCAAATAACATCTTTTAATATATCCTAGAGGAAATGTTTTGTTAAATTAGATTGGAAAATTAATGTATTCATACAAAATCAGGATTCATTCTACATGTAGTCTTAAACTTATGAGCAGTTTAATGACTGTTCAAAGTTATAGCAGAATTGAAAAAAAGTTACTTAAGACCTGTCCTCAAAATTACGACTGCCCTGTAGTCATATGATCACATTTCAGATGATTAGCAACTACATACATTTACTGGATTCAGACTTACAACCATGTAATTAGCTTAACAACCACACGATTTGCTTAATGACTTTGGTGACCTGCTTAAGAGGTATTATAAAAATGGTTGTAAACTCAAGTCCGGTCATATGATGACCCAATTTATGATCACAATGACTTACAACCAAAATTCCGGGCTCAATTGAGCTCATACGTTGACAACTACTGTATACTGCTTTAGGTGAAATAAAATATTGGACCGCAACTGATTTCTTTCTGTAAGCTCAAAACTACTGAATGCCAGAGTATAAGATGTGGGGTGGGAAAACCCTGCTACTTGTGAATCTGATAGTTGTGAGTAGTAGGGTATTGTAGAGTTGAAATGGAATATAAACAAACAGAAAGATTAATTATTTCATCAGTTGAACACCTGTCTAGTATAGTCACTCCTCTGCTCTTTTCTCCCAGGGATATATTAGGCCATAATTATTTGTGAAAAGGTAGAAGGATATTTTGTGAACTCCTTGTTGAAAGATAGTACATATACATTAAGGAGGTGACAAATTAGTTATATAAAGCAGACATACACTTTGAGATTGAACTTTCATCTGCTAGTTTACGTGGTAATTCATTGGAATAGCCTGCCAACTGAATTATTGCTAGATTTTTGACTAGTGTAATTCTGGAGGCAAAAATGTACTAAAATATTTATAGGTATAGCTGTCTGACTTATTAGCACTTAGAACAATTAAAGTTCATAGCTTAGTTTGAATTACCTTACCTGAGTTTAATGTGCCTGAATATGACTTTTGCCCTATTGCTTCTCCTACTGTGACACGAACTATCCGTAAAACAGTCACTAGTTTTGCAATAAACTAGAATATTAAACTCAGTGAGTGATGTTGGATTAATCAGTTTCTTAGCCTAATTTATCTCATGGGTTGTTATTTAGGGAGGTTAAAGGATTATGTATAAATTAAAATTAAAGGATACAATGCCATGTATGTAGCTTTGAGTTCCTTGGAAAAAGGCAGGATATGAATGTAGTAAATAATAGTTTATCAAGTAATCATTTGACTGCTGAGATGTGCATTGTTTTGCTGAGGAATCATAGGGTGGGGAAAGTTTTATATATGTTTGAGAACTAATGTGATTTTTGGATGAAAATAATCCCTAATGCTAAACTGTGGGATGTAATCAAATATATCTACCTATTAATTAACTTAAGGAGATATAGTTATCTCCTTGGTCTTCCAATTCGTTTGTTATTCTTTTTTTTAAAAAATTAATATCCATAAAATCCCTATTTATGGGAAAGAATAAATTAGAGAGCCAGTTTGCTCTAGTGATTAAGGCATCAGGTTAGAAACCAGGAAGACTGTCAATTCTAATCCTGCTTTAGCATGAAAGCCATCTGGGTGACTTTGGGCCAGTCACTCTCTCAACCCAACTCACCTCATAGGATTATTGTTGTAGAGAAAATAGGAGAAGTATTAGGCATGTTCGCCATTCTGACTTATTTATAAAAATAATAATAGCAAAATATAAATAAGATCCAAATCAGGCAAGTATTGTTTATAAGTTTTTTTATGGCTGCTGGATTTTTATCATTATTGAAGTCAGCACAAACAATAAGCTGTTTTGTATTTATGATGCTTTCTAAATCATATAAATTTGATTTTGATCAGTGTGCACAATAATTCAAATTCACAGATATTAATCAAAAGGCAAGCAAATTGCCCATTGGAAAGCTAAAGATAGCAAAGATTTATGGCAAGTTACATGATCATTTTCACATATTATATCCAGCAGTTATTAAACAGGATGACTGCAAACATAACTTTTTGTCTTCTGATTAACTAATTCTGCTATATATAAAATTGTTGAGTGTCCCAACTCCCAATAGGTGTGGGTGTGGGGAGGGCTGAGATCATTTCTGTCTCTGTGTTTGAGCTGTCCGTGAGATTGGGGATGAGAATTTGCCCTTTTCTCAGATTTGGAAAGGGAGAAAATGTTAAATATTAATTTTTGCTGACAGCATGTAACCGCAGTGAAATTCGGTAATCCACTGTCAAAATATCAAGGGGCAGCTTTATATCATGCTTAAATGTAGAGAATGTACATTTTTATTGATCCAATAATACAAAAATTAAAATATGAGAATAGTTTTATTGCTTTTTAGAAAGAGCAACCAGTTGTTTTGAATACTTCAAGAGTTATTGCCTCAAAAGCAGACTAATTTACCTTAGAGATTGTCAGGTTGGTATGTTGTCTGTAGGTCTTTATTTCAACTTTTCTTAAAGAGCTGAACTAAACCAGTCTCTCATGAGACTGGTTGGTTGTTGTTGTTGTTGTTTTTGGTTTTTTTTGAGAAGCTACTCTTTATTCAGTGAACTTTTAAATAGTTATTAAATTTAAACAAATATGAGGAAAAATAGTATCATCTGTTGCTTAGAAGAGACATTAGTTTGATCCACTTCAAACTGGCTTTAGAACACACCATGGGGTTGTGACAGCTTAGTTGTAAAATAATTTTTATTTGGGAATTGGCATGGGGAATGAGACACTTTGGGTGTTTCTAACTATCTCCGTGACCATGGTATCTTTCTAGATTACCTAAATGTTCTGGGAATAGGAGGCACATTTTTGGAGTTCTATGTCTTAGGCCAGAGATGGCTAACCTTTTTGCCATCGCGTGCCAAAAGTGGGGGGAGCGTGGTGGGGTCACACGCACGTGTGCCCACATCCATAATTCTATGCACCCTGCCCCCCAGTACTCCCCCCACTTTTGGCACGTGATGGCACGGTGGGCTCGGTAGGCCCATTTTTTGCTCTCCCTAGGCTCCAGAGCCTTTCTAGGAGCCTAGGGAGGGCAAAAACAGCCTTCCGCCCCCGCCCCCCCGGATGTCCTCCGGAGGCCGGAAACTGTGTTTCCTGACTTCTGGTGGGCCCAGAAGGCCCGAAAACCAGCTGCCTGGCACATGCATGCGTGTCGGAGTTGAGCTTGCGTGCCCACCGATATGGTTCCGCATGCCACCTGTGGCACCCGTGCCATAGGTTCGCCATCACGATCTTAGGCAATTTCAAATGGTGTCACTTGGATATAGTTGCTTCTTGAAATGAGAGCTGTTAATATATTGTCCCCCAGGACTCCATTTTGTCTCCAGTGCTTTTCAGTATCTGCATGATAGAAGAAAACATCAGGAAACTTAGAGCTGAGTTTTATCGGTTGTACTGAATCCACCTAATCTGTTTTTGGATGTGGGTCACACTTTCCTTGAATCAGCTGCATGATCTGGGGCCACATCTGAAGTGGAAACTCTAATATCCAATTTGAGGTAATAGCCAAGCCCACCCTTCATCACATTTGCTTGTGTCAATTGCATCTCTTCCTGGAAGACACTATTACACTATTTAAAATTATTGTGCATGTACCAATAAACTCCAGTCTCGAGTATTGTAACATGGTCTATGTAGGGATATCTAAATTTGCAGTATAGCATATTCCATTGGTATAGAACAGTGGTTCTCAACCTTCCTAATGCCGCGACCCTTTAATACAGTTCCTCATGTTGTGGTGACCCCCAACCATAAAATTGTTCCTAAGACTATTGAAAATATGTGTTTTCCTATGGTCTTAGGCGACCCCTGTGAAAGGGTCGTTCGACCCCCAAAGGGGTCCCGACCCACAGGTTGAGAAGCACTGGTATAGAACAAGTCAAAGAGACCATGTTACACCTGCACTAAGTCATTTTCTGACCTCCATGTTTTTAGATTAATACAAAATATTTTTAACCTCATATCTTTTGACTACTTGAGAGAATGTCTTTTTCTGTATGATCCCATCTGCTCATTGAGAAGTTTCACTAGTTGCTCTGGTCTTATCTCATGATGAGTTAGAATCAGGCCTCCTGTATAGCTGCTCCATTTCTTTGGAATATAATCCCTGTTTAGTTAAGGGGTGTAAGTGCTTGTAAGGATACTTTTTAAAGCAGACTTTTAATTCTTGGATTTAATTGGTTTTAGATTTTTTTTTAAATGG